CTTTTCTCCACATCCTTGCCAACACATTTCTTGTCTTTTCATAATAGCTACTCTAACAGGTATGAGGTGATATCTCGTGGTTTTGATCTACATTTCTCTGATGATTAGTGCTGACTTTCTCAAGGCAGTAAACTGAAAGAATAATAAATACTCACCTTGTTTGTTTCCTACCTCTCAGTACTTGGTTGGCTGCTTAAAACCTGCTGTTTTAGCCCTGGTTCATGTGGCTCAGTTGATTGTCAGTCTGGGAACCAAAGAATCACTGGTTCAATTCCCAGTCAGGGAAAATGCCTGGGTTGAGGGCCAAGTCCCCAGTAGGGGGCAGGCAAGAGACAACCACCAACACAGCACCAACAATGTCAAATCATGACCCTCAGGCAATATACAAGCAAGCTTCTGGCCAGTCAATAAGACAATGGCTGGCAGAGGGGGGCTTTCCTGGGCATGAATACTGTATGTTTCATGCCTCAACTTGGAGTTCAGCATCTATTTGCAACAATTGTGGAGGACCCATAATGGGCCATAAGGATACCACAAAGGTGCCACAGAGAAGCATTTTGTTGTTTGCTGGCCCTGGATATGTCACCTTTAAGATTGGGGGCCATGCCTCAGTCACCCAGGGCACTATTTGCAAGTTTCTCTCCAATCCTTTAAGTGGTGACAAGAGCCATCCAACTCTTGTGAGGGGATTTTACAAGTCCTCTGCCACAAGCCCATGACAGATGGTCGGGCTGTGCAAGTACCCATGAGGGAGCAGTGCAAAGTTCCATTGCCGGCCCTCCCATGTGAAGGCAAACTAAACTTGAATCTCTGGAGCAATATCAATGGAGCATAAGGCATTTGTTAGATCAGCTACAAAGTGGTAAGTTCCCAGCTCATTGGTTAACTGGTCCACCAAGTTCACCACAGAAAGACCACTGCATGTACTGGAGGAATGACCTTACTGAGCTCCCAGTAATTGACTATCATTCTTCATGTACAATCTGGTTTTTTCACTAGCCACATGGGAGAGTTAAAAGGACTGTGGGCAGCCCTAATTATTACCACCTTTTCCAATTCTCCTATAGTCACAGTATTTTCCACATGTCCCTTGGGCAACCGGTATTGTTTCACTGCTGTTACCCATTGTGGGGGTGGTAAATGAACAGGGGAATGGTCAGCATGTTCCCACAGAATGGCTTTTGCCACTTGCACCCAACAGGCAAAACTCTCCTATGGTCATGTGTAGCCATAGTCCCTGGAGTACATCAATACCCAGGATATACTGAAGAATGGGGGATACATAAACAGTGTACTCACAGTGGAGGGGGAGGACAAATGCCCAATACCCAGAGAAAGCTGCACAGCCTTCACCCTCACACTCTGTCCCACATAACCATCAACAGAGGCCTCAGACCCCAGAAACTTCTCAGGGTTTCCATGTAAGAGGGTACACTTGGCTCCTCTGTCCATGGGAGCCAAAACCTGATGTACATTTGCAGGGGACCAATGAATAACTAATTTGACATGCGGCCTTCAGTCCATGCCTGACCTCTGGAGACGGGTTACTCCACCTCCACCTTAGTCAAAAGTCAAAGGATAGCTTCCCCCTTGTCATGGGAGGTTGACATAATCAGATGATCTCCCAGCCAGACTGAATGGGCTTCTCATGGCACACCCTTGGATTTCCCCAGCAGTTTCTTCTTTTGGGGATGCAGGAAACTTTGGGCAGCTCGCAGCTCCTTCCAGAGCTCTAATAGGTAAGCATTTGGCTTCCTGTCAATCTTTTTAAAAAATATATTTTATTGATTATGCTATTACAATTGTCCCATTTCCCCCTTCATTCCCCTCTACCCTGCTCACCCCCTCCCACCCACACTCCCCCTCTTTAGTTCATGTCCATGTGTCATAAGTTCTTTAACTTCTACATTTCCCATACTATTCTTGCCCTCCCCCTATTTTCTCCCCACTGTCTATGCTATTTATTCTCTGTACATTTCCCCCCTCTCTCCTCCTCCCACTCCCCTGCTTCTAACCCTTCATGTGATCTCCATTTCCGTGGTTCTGTTCTAGTTGTTTGCTTAGATTGCTTTTGTTTTTCTTTTAGGTGTGGTTGATAATGATTGTGAGTTTGCTGTCATTTTACTGTACATTTTTTTGTCTTCTTTCTCTTAGATAAGTCCCTTTAACATTTCATATAATAAGGGCTTGGTGATGATGAACTCCTTGAACTTGACCTTATCTGGGAAGTGCTTTGTCTGCCCTTCCATTCTAAATGGAAACTTTGCTGGATAGATCAATCTTGGATGTAGGCCCTTACATTTCATGACTTGGAATACTTCTTTCTAGCCCTTTCTTGCCTGTTAGGTCTCTTCTGAGAAATCAGCTGACAGTCTGATGGGAACTCCTTTGTAGGTGACTGTCCCCTTATGTCTTGCTGCTTCTAGGATTCTCTCCTTCATTTTAATCTTAGGTAATGTAATTATAATGTGCCTTGGTGTGTTCCTCCTTGGGTCCACCTTCTTTGGGACTCTCTGAGCTTCCTGGACTTCCTGGAAGTCTATTTCCTTTGCCAGATTGGGAAAGTTCTCCTTTATTTTTTGTTCAGATAAGTTTTCCTCTTGTTGCTCTTCCTCTTCCCCTTCTGGTACCCCTATAATTTGGAGTTGGAATGTTTAAAGATGTCCTGGAGGTTCCTAAGCTTCTTCTCATTTTTCCTGAATTCTTGTTTCTTCATTCTTTTCTGTTTGGTTGTTTGTTTCTTCCTTCTGGTCCACTCCATTGATTTGAGTTCATTTTCTTCCCATCACTATTGGTTCCATGTGTATTCTTCTTCATTTCACTTAGTGTAGCCTTCATTTTTTCATCTAATTTGTGGCCCAAATCAACCAATTCTGTAAGCCTCCTGATGACCAGTGCTTTGAACTGTGCATCTGATAGGTTGGCTATCTCTTGGTTGCTTAGATGTATTGACTCTGGGGCTTTGATCTGTTCTTCTGTGTGAGTTATTTATTTATTGGTCTGGTCACACCTGTTACATACGAGGGGTGGAGCCTTAGATATTCACCAGTGTGGGGCAACCCAGTGGCTGGGTTTTGATGCTGTATGTAGGGCGGGGTAAGAGAGGGAGCAGTGGCGCATGCTCTGCTCTCTCTCAGATTTCAGTCACTTCCCCTACTACCCAGAAGCAAATTGGGCCCTTCTGGTGCTGGTTCCTGGGTGGGTGGGCTTGTGTACATTCTAGGACCCTGTGGGTCTCTCCAATGAACTCTCCTGTAAGGTTGGGAGTCTCTCCTGGCACCTCACCCCCCACAAGTGGTTTCAATCGGTGCTTTTAGACTTTATTTCCTGTTGCTGGGGCCCTGAGTTTCGCGGTCTCTCTTGCTGTCCATTATTGCCTGGTTTATCTGTGCTTGAATGTGACCGTGGTCAGCCAACTGCCTTGCGCCCCTCACTGGGTCTGCCCATTGCTACCCTGTGCCTGGGGTCTGCCAACTACCGCCTGCACACCCGGGTCTACCAGTCACTGCTTTTTCCTGTCCCGAACTCTCTCCACCGGCCGCCGACTCAACTCCTCTTACCAGTCTGGATTAATGGTTGTCAGACTTCCATACAGTTCAATTTTCTGTCAGTTGTGGGGGGGTTTTTTTGTTTCTAAATTTTTGTTGTCCTTAATTTTGGTTGTGCGAGGAGGCACAGTGTGTCTACCTATGCCTCCATCTTGGCCCTAAGTCCTCCTGTCAATCTTAATATAATAGAATCTAGCCCCTAAAAGGTCAGACCACATCTGTTTTCTGGTCACCCTTCACAGGGGCGCTGTTTGACTGAGAAAAAAAGGAATTCTAAGAGACTGCAGGAACAGCTTTTTGCTGACTGTGAGACTCTCCCTCTCCCAGACTGACCACCATCATCTTGATGTCATTTATGTAACAGCCAACATAGGAAGCTAGAATCACCTTGAGCAACCCAAATTAGGTAGTGGGAGCATGCTGGAGTACAAGATCTGGCATTCCAGCTGTAAAACTGTCATCATTAGGGCCCTGTGTTTGGGGATTGAACATAGGTTGGCACATGCCCAAAACTCACAGGATTTGCCCTAAGTCTATAAAGGACTGCCACTTGCTCACAGTGTCGGGCACACTCCCACATTTGCCAGACTGTACAGATAGCCACCATTACCCACTCCATCAAAGTATGTGAGCCTTGCTCCTCACTGGGCCTCTGGCTATTCTGCAGCCATTGGTGCAGGGAGGGGTGAGTAGTGATGGAAGCTAAATTTTTCACCTCATTGTCAGCGCACATGATGCTATCCACCCCTAAATCCCACAGAAACCCACAGGAACCATGTGGCTAAGGGCTCCCCAGGTTGCTGGCAAAACTGATTTGTGAGACAGACCAGTGTGGCCTGGGTATAGGGACGGTAGGTGGTACATTCTGTCATCTGAATGGGACCTGCCAGAGTTCCCCCAAGCTCCACGGGCTGCTGAGATTTCATTTTTATAACACTACAGGACAGGCCTTCTGGGGATGTGGTTCTGCATTAATGTCATCTTCCTCCAACTCCAACTCATCTGCTATGTCCAGGGATGGAGATTGGAGCTGTTTTGCTGCTTGCAGCTCTTTTTCTAGGGCATCAATTGTGGCTTTCAGGACTTCTTCTTGTCCTTGGAGTTCACATAGTTTCACTGTGTTGTGAAGTATGGTCTCCATCTCAGCCTGCAAAGCTGAAAAAAACACTCAATCACATGAGCACTGAACCATGACAGGGTCTCCCCAACCACACACAGGGCTTTCTCTAGTATATCAGGTATGCTACTGACATCAGCCCACTCCCTAGGTGGGGCCCACAATGTTGGGAGGCTCCCCACTGGGTACCACATCCTGTTGACAGGCCACCCATCCTCCATTTAAACAATGGAATACTACTCAGTCATAAAAAGAAAATTTCACCTGTTGTGACAGTATGAATGGACCTGGAGAACATCATGCTAAGTGAAACAAGCCAGTCAGAGAAAGACAAATACCATATGATTTCACTTATATTTGGAATCTAATGAACAAACTGAATTAACAAGCAAAATACAGACAAAGTCTTGGATACAGAGCAGGATATGACAGTTAAGGAGGGAGGGAGATTAGTGGGTGGAGAGATTGAGCAAAAAGGAAAAAGGACTTATAGACATGGATAACAGTGTGGTGACTGCATGGGGGGTTGGGTATAAGGGGACTAAATGGTAATGGGAAAAATGTAATAAAAATTAAACATTCAGAAAAAAATATACATAGGAAGAGTAATATGAATGTAGGTTACCATTGCAGCACATTTTACAATGATGATGAATATAACAAGGAACATAATTATAATGACTTTACCAGATTATTATTTATTAGTTTGTTTGAAGGTTTAGGTATAGTAAGTATGGAATGCAGAATACAGAACAGATACAGTTTCTTCCCTCTCCCCCTGTCTACCAGCAATCTTCATAGTCAAGAGGCTGGCTGACAGTAGAACAATTCTTGACATTTATGTAGTACATTTGCAGAAGGACTTATGGCATGTTATCAAATCCACCTGCCACCCCTTGTTAAAAATATTTACATTTTAAAAATAGAAAATAAAAATTTAATTATTATATCATTGCCTCATCTTTTGGTAACTAGATTGAAATTTCAGTCCAGAATTTTTTAGTTGTCTTCAAAGTTTCCTCCAGTAGGAAAGGCCTGTCACTTATCCTATATAAGGATTGGGAGGAATTCCTTTGGCCCCCAGGCCAGTTATCTGTTAAAAAAAAAAGAGAGAAACTGTGATAAAAAGTAATTCACAAGTATTCTTTAAAATTATTTTCATGATTTATATTATATATTTAACCACCTATTATTCTTGTTTTATTTCCTATCATACAAAGGAATTACTTGATTAGGTATTTATTATTTAATTATTCACACAGGTAATAATCATTTACAACTAACTTGGATTTAAACTGAATTTATTTATATTATCTTTCCAGCTGTTGAAAAAGAGATTTGAATAAAATGATTTTACACTTCTTTTCAGCTCAAAAGGTCTATAATTTTTATAGGTGTTTGTTTCATTGAAGAAAGTTAAAAGATCCAATAATATTCCTGTGACATTAAAACAATCAACTAATCTTATAAACATGTCTCAAATACTGGTTTCCTAAGTCCATTCTACTGATTCATAGAATTTCAGCAAACATTACTGAAGTAAAAAATATTTTTAATAACTGTACAAAGGAGTCTCAAAATATTGTCTCGAACTTCAGATAATTTTCAGTCTAGAAAATCTAAAATGTTTTTAGGTCTAGCATGATGAGATTACAATGCTAAATGGAATTGTGTTTTGGAAGTATGAAAAAGCACTGATCACTCAATTACTTATCCAATGATCTCCCACTTCACCCTTAAAAGAAGTAGCCAAATCACCTTGAAAATTCCACCAGCTTTAGGTTGCCGCAAAAGATCCTCAGGATCCATTCCATCCCGGGCACAGGTCACATACATTTCAGAGTAAAACTTCCCTCCAAAGCAGCATGAAGTTGTTTTATCAACAGGCAGCATAACGGTTTGGAGTCTTTTCCCTAGATCACCAAATATTTTATTTAAAGTCTACTGCTAGCAAATTTCCAACTTGTGAAAGCTTTCAGGACCCCTTGCAGAACAACAGAGAAGCTTAAAGAAGATGATGGAGGTCTTGTATTTAACCTACCTTCCCTGATAATTTATTTATTTTTGAGCAAAAGTACTTACATGCACAGGAAAAGGAGTTCTGACTACAAATTTCAGCCTGTATCTTTGACCTTTATTTCTAAAATCATACAATTGAGGCCTTTGAATATATTGCTGTCTAACTTTATTAGTAATGAAGTTTCTGCAGTCCCTAGTGTCTGGTGTTTTCTAGACATGACAGTGATTTCCCATTGTGCCATGGGCCTACCTGTCTCAGGATCTAAACAAATCACTCTTCCTCCATTATAACAGGCCACCCACAGCTTCCCCTCAGCATCGATACACATTCCATCTGGGATTTGTTCTTCTTTCTCCAGCTTGTAAACACTTCTACGGTTGGCTATGGTTAAAAAACAAAAACAATAATGAAAAACAGCCCTGAGCAGTGTGGCTCAGTTGGTTGGGTGTCATTCCGGTCTGATTCCTGGTCAGGACACATCCTGGGTTGTGGGTTTGGTTCCTGGGCAGGGCACATATGAGAGGCAACAGATCGATGTTTCTCTCTCACATTGATGTTTCTTGCCCTCTCTTTCTCCCTCCCTTCCCCTCTCTCTAAAAATAAATAAAATCTTTAAATACACTCACATGCTCCAAAACAACAGGTCACTCAATACTGAGCATCAAACAAAGAGCAACTGAGCTGATTATAAATACTGATCACTTCTGCTTATCCACGGTCTGGTGTATGGGCACCACAGGCAGGATGATTGAGAAGGATTCCTAACTCTAAACAATGTCTAGAAATGTGAATGGGCATCCCTCAACAAAGGATTTTTACCATATGATTTGGGGTGGATTCATTCCCTTTAGTTTGGGTACAGACATGTCTGTCTGAGCTTCCCGAGGAGGAGAGAAAAAAAGAAACAGAATTCTTAATAAAATACCAATAGATTTTTTTTTATGTGCCACAGGCATGAACCAGCTCTAGCCACCAATGCAGGCAACAAGCTAGGATGAACTAAGGACTGTACTAAGGACTGAACTAAGGACTGCTTTGCCCTGACTGATATAAGAGCAACACCACCAATTAGGTGTGTCCTTGCCCATTGCCAGGGGGTCCAATAGATGTTTTTGATGCTGACCTGAATTGAAGCCCTGCATGCCCACTTCAAATATACTTCAGTCTGCAATTAGACCTCTGTTATTTTATGAGTTGTTTCTACCCAACTGAATGCTCCATAATCACCTTATCAAAAGTAAATATTGGAAGTGTTTCTTTTTGAAAGGAGGAGAGTTGGTTTCTGAAACCAACTAAGTGACCTTAAAGAGAGAATCATAGTATGCACAAAACAAACATCAAAATCCAGAGGAGCTTTACACTACAAAATGCAGGTCATTACTGTAATAAAATTGAGGCATTTAAACATGTTAAAACCATGAATAAGTAAAATGGGTAAAAACAGTAATAACAAAGAGCACTGCTTATTTCTTTTTTAAAAATTATATTCTATTGATTATGCGATTACAGTTGTCCAAATGCTCCCTTCTTCCCCCGCTTTCCACTCAGCACCCTCCACTCCCTCAAGCAATCCCCACACCATTGTTCATGCATATAAATTCTTTGGCTACTCCATTTTACTATACTGCACTTTACATCCCCATGTCTATTCTGTAACTACCTATTTGTTCTTCTTAACCCACTAACTTCTCCAATTCTTCCCCACACCCCTCTCATCTGACAACCATTAACATGTTCTCCATATCCATGACTCTGTTTCTGTTCTTGTTTGCTTAGTTTGATTTTTAAATTCAATTGTTGATAGATAATGTATTTTTTGCCATTTTATTGTTCATAGTTTTGGTCTTCTTTTTCTTAAATAAGGCCCTTGAACATTTCATATAATAATGGTTTGATGATGATGAACTCCTTTAGTTTTTTCTTGTCTGGGAAGCTCTATTTGCCCTTCCATTCTAAATGATAGCTTTGCTGGGTAGAAGAGTCTTGGCTGTAGGTCTCTGCTTTTCATGACTTTGAGTATTTCTTGCCAATCCCTTCTGGCCTGCAAAGTTTCTTTTGAGAAATCAGCTGACAGTCTTATTGGCACTCCTTTGCATATAACCATCTTCTTTTCTCTGGCTGCTTTTAAGATTCTCTCTTTATATTTAACCCTTGGCATTTTAATTATGATGTGTCTTGAAGTGGGCCTCTTTGCATCCATCTTGTTTGGGACTCTCTATGCTTCCTGGACTTGCATGTCTATTTCCTTCACCAACTTAGGGAAGTTTTCTTTCACTACTTTTTCAAATAGATTTTCAATTTCTTGCTCTTTCTCTTCTCCTTCTGTCATTCCTATGGTGAAAATGTTGGACCACCTGAAGTTGTCCCAGAGGCTGCTTACACTATCTTTATTTGTTTGGGTTCTTTCTGTTTCTTGTTCTGATGGGTTGTTTTTTGCTTCCTTATGTTCCAATCATTGATTTGATTCTTGGCTTCATCTGTTTAACTGTTGTTGATGGGGAACTCAAAAGTGGAAATTTTTAGTTTAAGTAATAGCTAATAAGCTATTTAGTAATCAATGCAAGTAAAAGCTATTGTTCCAGGAACTGAAGGTATGACCCACCCTGACTCCAGGAGACCATAAGCAGTTCCACCTTTGTGCCTCAGGAAGGATGCAAGCAATTCAAGAGGGTATCTGGGCCATTGTGCTCCAGAGTGAGATGCCCACCGCCCAGGATACAGCTAAAGATTACTGTCCAGGATGAGAATGCTGCAGGTTTTTAAATCCAATTAACTTTTCCTAAATTCCACACTCCTTACCTACACTTTGTCCTACTTATAAAAAAAAGTCATTTTTAAAATGGAATTAAAATGGTTTGTTAGGGTATAAACCTGCCATCCTCTCAGATTGCAGACCATCTGAATAAAGTGCCCATAGAGATTCAGCCCTGGCTGGTGTGGCTCAGGGGGACTGAGTGGGGGCCTGTGAACCAGGGGTTGCTGGTTCAGTTCCCAGTTAGGGCACATGCCTGGGTTGTGGGCTGGGTTCTCGGTTGGCGGTGTGCGGGCTGCAACTGATGGATATATCTCTTGCACACTAATGTTTTTCTCCCTCTCTTTATCCCTCCCTTACCTTCTTCCTAAAAATAAATAAATAAAACCTTTAAAAAAAGATTCAATCCCTGTAACTGCTTATTGGGTCTGGTGGGCGACAGGCAGCATGAACACCAGCTTTTCTGGTTTGTTTACCTGTAAATCACTCTTTATTTCAATTAGTGTATCCTTTGTTTCTGACTGGGTCTTTTTTTATGCTGCTGAGGTTCTCACTAAGTTCCTTGAGCATCCTTATAACCACTATTTTGAACTCTTCGTCTGATAGATTGCTTTTCATTTTTGTGAAACTCCATTTCATTTAACTCTTCTGTAGTTTTATTCTGTTCTTTCATTTGTGCCATGTCTCTTTGTCTCCTCATTTTGTCAGACTTCCTGTGCTTACTTCTATGTATTAGGTAGAGCTGCTTTGACTCTGTGTCTTGGTAGCTACATGGTAGCATGTAGTAGGTATCCTGTAGGGCCCAGTGGCACAGCCTCCCCTATAACCCAAGCTGTGTATTTGAGGTGCTCCCTCCACGTGGTCTGAGTACACCCTCCTCTTGTAGTTGAACCTTGGTTGCTGTTGGCAGGTCAATGAGAGGGATTTACCCAGACCAGTCAGTTGCAAGGATTGGCTGTGACCACTGACCATCAATCACACCTGTGATCTCTTTGGAGGATCAGCTGTGCAGGGGCAGGGTTGTGGTGCTCCAATGTGACCTGTAGTTGTCCACTGGTTGTGCCGGCTCTGGGGTTTCCCAGGTGGTGTAGGCCAAGGTCAGCCTCCCACCTCGTGTTTTACCCAGGGCCACACTGCCTGAGCTATAGAGCAATCTGAAAGGGCCACTACTTGTGCTTGGCTTGGAGATTCTCAGGTGAAGCTAGGCTGCAAACCTAGGCTGACTGCTTTTGGTGCTGTACCTGGGACCACTTAGCAAGAGGTACAGGGGCTGGGGGCTCACTGAGGCTGGCTGTTGTTTGTTTGAAAGGATTTAGGAAGTCATGAAGCACAGCCAGGACCAGCCATTCATATGGAAAAGCCACTGTTAACAGCTGTAACTTGGGTGGGACAGTGTCTCAGTGAATCTCCAGGTTGGGGCAAACAGTGTTAGCCAGGTTGATGGAGTCTCACAATGGCACCTGCCTGCCAGCTTTGTGGCCCTACCTGACTTTCTTTGTGGGAGAAAGCTGGCCCCCGGCTTTTGCCTTGATGCCAAACACTTCGGATTCTCTATATTCCACTGGTGCCTTTCAAGCTGCTACCCCAGTGCTGGAGCTCAGAGAGAGTACATCTAAGCAAGTTCATGTGTGGGTTCTTTAAGAAGAACTGCTTGGGACTATAGAAGTTTCTTCCACCTACTCAATCCCTGTTGGTCTTTGCAGCCAAAAGTTATGGGGACTTATATTCCTGGCTCTGGAACCCTGCGCTGGGGGGCCTGGTGTGAGGCTAAGACTCCTCACCCTCAAGGAATCCATCTCGAATTTTTATCCACCGCAAGTGGATGTGGGACTAGTCCATTCAACGTCTCTACCCAATCCTTCTGGTCTGGATGGATGTGATTTCTTTAAGTCTGTAGTTGTCCGACTTCCATTCAACTCGGATTTCTGATGGTTTTGAATCAAGAGCACTACATATTTCAAACAGCTGTACTGGAATGTTTTATCTGTGATTAAAGCTACACGAGAGTCTTGTGATACTATTCAAGTCATTTAATTATTAGTTTTACTCTTGTGGTTTGGCACCTTTCATGAAACATTTTCAAGTACTCCCTTTTTAAATTCTTCTCAATGATTCCTTCCCTCGCAGTTTCCAACTATGGGTCGTTTAGAGCCCATTGATGGACTTGAATAATCTGTAATTACTTATTTTTACTTTTCCATTTTGAAAATTGTTAATTTGTCTCTGAGCACTTGCCTATAGTTAACTAAAGTGAAAATAAGAAATATCAACCCAAAATTCTAACCTATTTCTCTATCCCATTCTACTGTATATTATTTGCCTTTAGGCACCTCCTGGTAAAATAGGATACATTTACAGTGAACCTCTTTCTAGTGATGGTGGCAAGAAAGAGGATTAAAGATCCATCCATATTATGCCAACTGTGGTCACATTTAGCTGTGTAAGAGCCATGGCTTGACTGGAATCATAGTCAAGTCTGTGTAATCATTACCATACTGGGATAATAACAATGGAAAGTTCTCTATTTGACAAATTTGACCTTTTCACATAAGTGGAGAAATAGGCAGCTCACTAAGGAGCAGTATTAAGAAAATAAGGAAAAAATACATACAGATCTTTCCTGTTTGCAGGTCATAGTCAAAGGCATCCACTGAGTAGGACAGGCTGTCGATGTAATAAAAGATTTTGTGGTCCAGGGACCAATCCAAACCATTGGAGATGTCCACCTGGTCAAAGTACTTTTCCACATGGTGGTCAGGAAAGAGGGAGTACAGGGACCCTTGGTGCCGTTCTAGAACTGCCGGGGCTGTTTCTTCAGCCATGGTGCCTACAGAAATCAAAGACCACTGAGCTCAGCCCCATAGCATCTTGCCCATGGCAATATCACCTTTTATCACTAGGGTTCCTTCCCATGATTAAATTAAGGAATTTATACAATCCCAATCTGGGTCCCGTATTTTTTTAAATTTATCCTTTATTGTATTTTTCCATTACCATTTAGTCCCCTTATATATCACTCCCCCCCCCCAGCAATCACCACACTGCTGTCCATGTCCATGAGTCCTTTTTCCTTTTTGTTCAGTCACTCCACCCCCTAATTTACCCAGGCCCCCAGGTCCTATATATTTGAAAAATGACAACTACCTTGCTTATAATGCAAATAAAAATTACACACGTTCTAGTTCCAGATAAGGAGTACATATGCACCTACTTCATTTCCTTTCATTGAACACAGCTACATAATTATACAACCTGGACAAAATGTATGGCGCAGCTGTTTGAGAACCTTGAAAGGCAAATATTAGGAAGCTCAGGGAAGAACACCAGAAATTGAACTACCACCTAGTTGGTGGTGAGTTCTCCATTTTATCCTCCAGTATGTCCCAGCCTGAACTCAGTACAGCCTGAAAATTGCAAGTGAATACTGTGGTGCAGAGACAGAGATCCAAGAGAAACCCTCTAGATCTGGTTCAAGGAGCAGAAGAGGAAACTCCTGAGGTTCAGAGAGAGTAGAAGGAATCCCCTGGTAATTTCCCACTCCCTTCTGTTCATTCTGTCACACATTGGTCCTGAGGCAGTTCTGCAGCAAGGGGTAGCAACAGCAGAGTGTCCAGCAACAGGAAACTACAGGAATCAAAAGTCTGAGGGTAGAGGACATTCTTCTTCATTTTGCAAAGCTACAGCTCCAAAAGGGCAGAGCCAAACACTGCTGCTTTTATGTTCTCTCTCTGTCCTCCTGCCACTTGGTCTTAGAGGCAGCACAATCATAGGGATAGGTGGTTTCTGGATGGAGGAATGAAAGGAGAGCTCAAGCAAAGTGGAAAGTACCTGAAGATAGTGAAGACAGATTTTGCACAGGAATGCAAGCCCATAACACTGTCTGTGATCTCTTGGGCCCATCTTCTATTTGTACATGCATGGGTCTGATTCTAATTAGCATACCAAGGACTAAGAGTGGTACTGTGGGTAGAATTCCTTCTGTGTCACAGACTGACCACTGAGTGGTATGCATGTGGGACAAATCCTCATGGCATCTAACAGAAAGCAGGTTGGAACTTGTGGTCTGAACCTAAGCATACAGATTGCTTACTAAACTAAATAAACAAACATTCTCCAAAGGATTTAAACAAGACTCAAGGTCTCATAATACAGTAATCAGAATGTCCAGGATACCATCTAAAATTACTTGGCAACATGAAGAAACATGAAAATCTCAACTCATATAGAAAACAAGCAACAGAAGCAGAAAACGAAATGGTACAGATGTTGGAATTACTTGACAAAGATTAAAGCAGTTCTTATGAGCAATTTGTAAATAGTCTTGAAACAACACTGAAAATAAAAAATATCACCAAAGAAATAGAAGATATAAAGACTAATCAAATGAAAATTTTAGAACTTTTAGAACATCTTACTGGATAGAACCAATAGCAGAAAAGAGATGACAAAGGAAAGAGTCAGTGTACCTGATGGTAGATCAATAGAAATTGTCCAATCTGAACAAAAGAGATAATAAAGATTGAAAAAAATGAACAGAATTTTAGGGATTTTTGGGACAACAAAATGGTTAACATATATGCCACTGGATTCCTAGAGAAGAGGAGAAAGAACAAAGGGCCAAAAAACATTTGAAGAAATAATGGCTCTGGCTGGTGTAGCTCAGTGGACTAAGCATGGGCCTGTGAACCAAAGGATCATGGTTCAATTCCCAGTCAGGACACACGTCTGGGGTGTGTTGCAGGCCAGTTCCCAGCAGGGGACACATGAGAGGCAACCATATATTGATGTTTTTCTCCCTCTCTCCTTCCCTTGCCCTCTAAAGATAAATAAATAAAAATATTTAAAAAAAGAAATAATGGCTCAAAATTCCTCAAGTTTTTGAAAAGCACAAAACTATAGATGCAAGAAGCTGAGCAAACCCAAAACAGGATAGGCCCAAAGAAACCCATATACATCATAATAAAATTTCTGAAAACTAAAATAGAAATCCTTGAGATCAATGAAAAAAATGACATAATGATTTCAATTACAAGTTTTTCATGAGAAAACATGGCGGTCAGAAGGAAGTGGTACATTTTAAATTTGCTGAAAGAAAAAAGTGTCAACCTAAAATTCTATATTCAGTGAAAATATCCTTCAAGAATGAGGGTGAAATAAAGACATCCTTATATAAAGTACAACTGAGAGAATTCATAGCCAGTAGAACTGCTTTAAAAGAATTGCTAAAGGAAGTTCTTCAGACACAAGGGAAATACCAAAAGGAAGCAAGGAACATGAGATGAAAGAAGAGCAATAGAAATAGTAAACATATGAATAAGTATAGTAGGCTATTTTTATCTTTAGTTCTTTAAAATATTTTTGATTGTATAAGTGAAAACTAGATTTTTGGCAAAAACTATATTTTCTGATGGGATTTTCAATGTATGTATATAAAGACAATGATAGTATAAAGAGTTGATTACCAACTTAAGTGGTGAAATATTGGTTCTAGATAGACTGAAAAGTTAATTATATATTTTGCAATCCCTCCAGCAACCCTTAAAAAACTATACAAAGAGATATAGTGAAAAATTACAATAAATAAGTGAAAATTGATTCTAAAGAGTGTTCAAATGACCCAAAAGAAGGAAGGAAAGGGGAAAAAGAGGAACAAAAAATACAGAGTGAAAGAAAAGAAAACAATAAAATGGTAGATCTAAGTCAAAGCATATCAATAATTACATTAACTGTAAATAATATAAACACACCAATTAAGATAGGGACTGTCAGGAGGAATTAAAAAAATTTAATCCTGCCCAGGCTGGTGTAGCTCAGTGGATTGAGCATAGATCTGTGAAGCAAAGGGTTGCTGGTTTGATTCCTAGTCAGGGCATATGCCTGGGTTGCACACCAGTCCCCAGTAGGGGACACATGAGAGGCAACCACGCACTGATGTTTCTCTCCCACTCTTTCTCCTTCCCTTCCCCTCTCTCTAAAAATAAATAAATAAAATATTTTTAAAAATTTAATCCTCAGTCAGGGCACATGCTTGGGTTGCAGGCCAGGTCCCAGCGGGGACACACAAGAGGCAACCATACATTGATATTTCTCTCCCTCTCTCCTTCCCTCCCCTTCTAAGGATAAATAAATAAAATCTTTAAAAAAGTTTAATCCTAATCTGAGTATATGTTTATTGATTTTAGAGAGAGAGGAAGGGAAAGAGAGAGAAACATCGATCTTTTGCATACTGTACATGCTCTGACTGGGGATCAAACCTGTAACCTTTTGGTATACAGGATGATGATGCTCTAATCAATTGAGCCACCCAGCCAGGACCAGAAAGAATGTTTTAAGAAATTCAACTATATTGTCTACAAGAAACTCACTTCGAATATAATGATACACATAGCTTAAAGGTAAAAGGATGGAAAAATATATACAAGACTTCCAGCCAAGTTGGAGGCATAGGGAGACACGCTGTGCCTCCTTGCACAACCAAAAGAAGTACAACAATTAAAAAAAAGAACCAGAACTGACAGAAAATTTAAGTGTATGGAAGCCTGACAACCCAGGAGTTAAAGAAGACACAATCATCCAGACTGGTAGGAGGGGTGGAGACAGGCAGCCAGGTGGAAAGGACTCACGGCAAGGTGGAGGCTAGCAGACCCAGTGAGGTGGTGGGTTGTGGAGTGGGGCATGTGAGGCTGCAGCTGGCCGGCAAGGCAGCAGTGGGCAGACCCAGTGAGGTGGTGAATTGCAGACTGGGTGGTCCCACATTCCTGCCCAGATAAACTGGGAGAAACAACTGGGGAGTGGGAAGAACTGTGCAACCCAGGGCCCCAACATAGAGAAATAAAGCTTCAAACCACTGATTGAAAACACCTCTGGGGGTTGAGGCAGCAGTGGGAGAAACTTCCAGCCTCACAAGAGAATTTGTTGGAGAGACCCTCAGGGTCCTAGAACGTATACAAACCCACCCATGCAGGAATCAGCGCCAGAATGGCCCAATTTGCTTGTGGGAAGTGGGGGAAGTGACTGAAATATGGCAGAGACCGGAGCAAGCACCATTGTTCCCTCTCAGACCCCTTCCTTACATATAGTGTCACAATACAGTGAGGTAGGTGGGTTGTGCCACCCTGGTGAACACCTAGGGCTCTGCCCCTTATTACATAACAGGTGTGTCAAGACAGAAAAAAATGGCCCAAATGAAAAAATAGATCAAAGCTCCAGAAAAAATACAACTAATCCATGAAAAGATAGCCAACCTATCAGATGCACAGTTCAAAACACTGGTAATCAGGATGCTCACAGAACTGGTTGAATTTGGTTGCAAATTAGATGAAAAAATGAAGGCTATGCTAAGTGAAATGAAAGTAAATGCACAGGGAACCGATAGTGATGGGAAGGAAACTGGGATTCAAATCAATGGTGTGTACCAGAAAGAAGAAAGAAACATCCAACCAGAAAAGAATGAAGAAATAAGAATTCAAAAAAAAATTAGGAGAGGCTTAGGAACCTTCAGGACATCTTTAAATGTTCCAACATCCTAATTAAAGGGGCACCAGAAGGGGAAGAGGAAGACCAACAAATGGAAAAGTTATTTGAACAAATAATAAAGGAGAACTTCCCCAATCTGGCAAAGGAAATAGACTTCCAGGAATTCCAGGAAACTCAGGAAGTCCCAAAGAAGGTGGACCCAAGGAGGAACACACCAAGGCACGTCATAATTACATTACCCAAGATAAAAATGAAGGAGAGAATCCTAGAAGCAACAAGAGAAAAGGAGACAGTTACCTACAAAGGAGTTCCCATTAGACTGTCAGCTGATTTCTCAAAAGAGACCTTACA